ACATTAATATATTAAATTTTAAAAAAATTTTTAAATGTAAGTGAAAATTACTCTTTCCAACATCTTACTTTTTTTTCTAAAATGCTTTGAATTTTTAAATCTTAAGGATTTAAACTTTAAAAAATTTGTTTTATATTTGCTTGTTTGTTACTAAATTTGTTTCAAAATCACATTTTAATTTTCACAAAATATTTTTCTGAATCCAAATATTTTCCAGTTAAAAATCTTAATGTCATAATAAAAAATATAATAGCAATAGTTTTATAGTCAAAAGGATGCTCCATTTGGCTGGATACTAAGGGCCGTCACCATTTTCTTCTCCTCTCTGCATTTGAACCAAATAAACTGTAACTCATTTTCAAAGGTGAAGCCAAAAATCATCTCTGGGGAAAACAATTTTGTTTTGTGATTAAAGAAGTCAAAAGATATCCATATATGTTCCATATTGGTCCTTGTAAATCATTGCATATTTTCCTCTTGGTATGTCACGAGCAAAATTAAGACACTGTTAGATTATATTGTAAGCTAAAAGAGAACATGTATTTATCGCGCAACATACAAATAAGGCTGTGCAGTCATAAGCGCTGCTAGATTTCGACTGGGTAAAAATAAGGTCCTCTAGGTTATGAGAAAAATTATTTAATCTTATGAAAATTATTTTGTCAAATATTTATAATTTTATCAATAAAATGCTTGTATTAGCATTATGTCAAATTGCTTGCATTAGTATTATGTCAATTATTTAAATTTAGACTTATCACAAAAATAATCTATTATCTTTGAAAGTTCTTGAGCAAGGGCTTAATTAAACAATTGAAAAAAAGACCAAGAAAATTATAAAACAAATGAAAATATCTTAATAAGTTATTAATAGCTTTCGATTTAAAAATTCATAAGAGCAAATTAGTTTGAGTTAAGAAGTTAAAAAAATATATTAAAAATGATAATGTAAGTAATAAAAGATGATGCGAAATTTGTAAGTTTCTAGTTCATGAATATTCATTAAAGAATTTTGTAAAAAAATCTTCATAAGTGTCATGTTGTTATGTGCAAGTGATAACTACCTCTTTTCCCATAATGACAAAGCACTATTTCGTAGAAATATATTCATTAGAATATATTCCTTTAACTGTTACGTTATTACATGTAATGCAATTTTAAATAAAAAAATAAATAAAAAAATTTGAACTATATGATTTAAAATTAACATTTAATTACTTTCCTTGAATTCATTAAAAATTTTACGACAGTATACAATTCGATGTTGAAATCGAGGATTGAAAAACAACTGAAGCCACAGTCCTTCTGCTTACAAGAAAAGGACAATAAGGGATGTGCAAAGAAAAGGGCGATAAATCGAGCGAAAGGCTCAAGTTAGTAAGAGGGCAGATTCTAAGGAAATATGACAATTTACAGTCTCTTGCTCCAAGATCTAATACTATACAACTAAAAGAACATTTTTAAAAAAATAACAATAAATAGCATTGCTGTTTGCATTTTAAAATGACCTTGTACTAGCATCGACTGATTTGTATATTTATAAAATTTAATTGAATTTCAAAATGAATTTCTGGTATGTCACAAACAATATTTCCAATAATATATAACTAGCTTCAAAACTTCGAATAAATTTTTTAATATCTATTTTTTTTATCTCAACTGTTGTAAGCATTTCTAGAATATACACAGCGGGTATTATTTACAAAAACTTCTTATAAAATAATTTTTTCTGTCAATAATTTGTTTGTCACAAGAAAATCTGTCATTTTCCTGGCTACTTTTATTTAGAGATTTATAATCAAAATAGATTGTGCCAGCCATCAATATCTTATGTTAATAGATTGATTACATACAGTCATATTTGAACATGCCTTGTTGCATAAATAAAGAACCAATTTTCTGGTTCAAAATCTATTTCAAAAATTTTTCAAGGTGAGTAGGTTTTTATGTTGTCATTTTCCTGACTTTCTGAAATCATTAATAACATAAACTACATAGATTTATCTGAGTTATTTCAAGAAATCCTGTGGTTTTGAGCAGAATGTAAACGCCATAGGCCAAAATGTTAAAGTTGAATGCTATAAAATGGCAAATATGTCATTATCCTGGCTTATGAATGCCAGGACATTGACATGCTACCAGAATTTTTTTAAGCAGTATACTGTAAAGAGGGAAAGCAAATATTAACCTAATACTAAGTTTATATATGATTGTAATATGCTTGGATGTAATCAAAGTTATTTATTTATTTAATGATCGATTATTATACACAATTTTATTCTGCACATATCAGCAACAAAAAAAATTTTGATTCTTTCCACAGTCGATTAAAAGTGGATAATTAATTTAAGTAATTTATGGTCCATCTAACATAAAGGCTTAAGTTGAGTTACATACTATTAGCTTAAAATGACTATTTTTTAAACTAAGCTAATATGTCATTTTCCTGGCATTCAGATTTGGTGAATTTCTATTTTATTTTTTTTTTCTTAAGCAAATGTCCATAAACTACACTGCTATCTGTAAGATATTAATAAATGCAACTAAATAAGTATACGAAAAAAAAATTTAGATTTTGAAGACTTTAAATTTGAAGAAATTTTTTGGTCCAAATTGTTATGTTTTCAAAAAATCACCCATGTATAAATTATTGGCAATAAAAATGGAGGGAAATGTAACGATAAAACAAATCAATACATACCTCTATTAACTTAAGATGTCTTTAAGCATTTTTATACCATGAAAAGGTGATTTTTCAAGCATACTCTTTGCACAAAATACCTGAAGTTTACATACATAATTTATTAGATCTATTAGACAAAAATAGTATAATATTGAGATTGTTGTTCCTTGGCAAACCGTTGTAATTTAACTTAGAAGCAGCATTTCTGAGCAGCTAAATAGTGTATATCTCTAAGTTTCACTCTCGTATATAAAATTTCTTTAAAAAAAAGAATATATTTTTTTTGAATACAAAATTTTGTTACGCAAAATTAAATTATCCCCAATAATTTTAACAAATATAATAAGACGAATTGATTCAATTAATCTAATTTCATCACATTAGATCATATAATTTGTAATATAATCCATTAAAACAAGCATTTAATTTAATCACCTTCATAAGCATATCAAATTCACTGTAAGAAAAACTAATACTTTACATTTTAATTTGCATACAAGTCTTTTAATTAGTTAAAAAACAAACTTTACTTGACATATAACTAATTAAAAGTCATAAAAGTATATATTTTTGACAATCTTTTGTAATTTAAGGCTTACAGCAGCTTAAATTAATAACTTCTTAATTCCAATAGGAAAACAAACTAAAATGTTATGTAATTTTCAAACTTTGTTTAGAGATTCACTTCAAAAATTTTTAAGTTTCCAGCATTTATAATATATTAATCTCCCACTTTTTAATAATTTGAATATTTTCTATCTAAATACAGGAAAGGATGTATTTAAAGAACATTATTTGATTTTTGACTTTCCAGAGCTCAACATTTCAAAGACGTGTGCTGTCTTCTAAGGTAACCATTTTTCCCCTCCTTCTTATGTACTATTTTCAAATTATTATTCATCATAATTAACAGAACTGAAATTTAAGAGAAAATTAAAAGTGATGCATCTATCTGGAGATGTATTGAATATGGAATGCATAAGTACTCCTGTGGAGTATAATCATGAAGTATATTAAATAAGAATAGTATAATTATAGAGTATGTCTAAGTATTATTATAATATTTATAAGGAATGCCTAAGTATTTGTCTTATCTACACAAGTGAATATCTATACAGAATAATGATTATTCAGGTCAGCAAATGAATTAAATATTTTAGACACATGAAATATATGATAAATGAAACACAGTAGGCTTGCTTACCAAAGTTGCAAACATTTTCTAACAATGTTTTTTATCTTTGAGATGATTTGCCCAGTGGATGATAAATTTGAATGCCTAGTGGATGATAACTAAAATACAAGTTTAAGCATAGCAGGTTTGCGCAAACTTTTTGCAAACATACTACCTAATGTATATTATAAATAATCACTCATCGGAGTTAATAACGATAAAACTTTAATTAGAGTAAGTATTAATCCTTAATCCGCCAAGCGCCATCGTAACTGACACTGAACCTTCCGTTTCGGTCACGCCAATGTAAAATGTGATAAAAAACTAAAAAATTTACATTGTTTGAAGTAGTTACTGATAATTCATTTAACCATCTGAGTTTTAGTTCCAACTTTAGTGGCAAGCTTTCTTGCATCAAATAACTGGTTTCTCCCATACTATTTGATGGGAGAGCAAGGAAATTTTCGTACAATTTTACCCACTGGGTTAATACTTGGAGAGTTAAAATTTATTTACATTTTATTTATTACAAATCAAATATTCATTTCACTCTGTTAGGAATGCGGTTCACATATCAATATCTCAATACAAGTGCATCTAAACAGCACATGTAGCCTGACAGGGATTTCTTTAAAAATATGTGTGGCACATATTGAAAAATATTGAATACTTTGAAAACTTCTTGTTTCCATGATCTCTTACTTAATGACAATCTTCAGGGTATGAACTGAACTCGTAATATTTACTCATAAATTAATCTTTGATTGTAAAATATGTAGTTTTTATGCATGTATAAATTTTTAAAAAAATCAACACAATGGTTCTCCAGAAATATTTTTAAAAAAAATGCAAAAAACTATAAATTCAAAAAAGGTATCTACTATACACTACATTGCTGTTAACCTAAACTAATCTAACTTTTAAAATCTTTGTTCTACAATGGGAGGAGAGTTGTCCACAATCCAATATGAATGAGTTAGGTAATAGTCCTTACATTATACCACATTTAATTTTTTAAAATTTGAATCACAAACTAATAGATAATACAGTACACTTATAGAAATAATTTTACAAAATCCAAAATAAAAAGAGTGAGTGAATTGTTATCAATTATTTCAGTAAACTGAAGTTGAAAAAATCTACATAAATATAGTGCTTTAATCATTTCCAATCTGTACAAATATTTACAAGATATAATTACAACAATAGGAATTTGAAAACTAAATCATTTTTTCTTAATTGATTTTATTCTCCAGTCTAGTAATTCATCTTCATCTAAATCTTCATCAGTACTATCTGATTCATTTTTAGGTTCTTCTTTAATAGCAGCTTTTGTTTTTACAGATTCAGCTAGTACTTCAAGATTATTTTTTCGTTGCCAGTTGTGTCTACAATTAAAAATCAAAAAGTTACAAATAATACTGACTAATTTTTATCATAGATACCTAATGAATAAGTTGTCTGGTAAAATTAATTATAGTATCTATATTTTATACAGAATACAGATACAACCGAATATAATATCTTGATGTTTTTAATTTACTTTTGGTTTTGCAGAGAAAAATTAGAAATTGAAGCTTCAACTTGGGCAAGAGATAAATTTGGAGCTTCTAAGCCAAATAACGAAAATGTTTAAAAAAGACAAATAAGATCAGATGTTATAATCAGGTAGGTGAAGAATAGTGTACCTTGTTTTTCAACGTTTTTTCTGAGAGAAAAGTATTATTCAGCAAAAGTGACTAGTCCATAAGAGCTTAAAAAATTTTTATCAAATCTGTTTCCCCTTAAAAGTTTCATTAATTTTAGACACGTTAAAACGGTCAAAATTGAAAAAGGAAATACTTTCCGCAAAATAGACTAACTTTTAATCCTTAAAATTCAAATTAAATATCTTTCTGGGGAAAAAATGCCTCCCATGGAGATGAAATGGAGTGCTAATTTCATACAGATACCGCTTATTGCTCACTTGGCTAATGATGCTAGTCAAACAATTCAAAGCCTACCACGTTTAAGTGGCTGCACCTAGAACACCTACACAACAAACCAGTCGCACATATTAAAAGCCAGGATGGCTCAGGGGATGGAGTTCTCACCTCTCAATAACCCAGGTTCGAATCCTAGTGATGGCTGGTCAATATGAATTCCACACCAGGCTTGCAGTAACTACAGTGCTGACCTAAAATATCCTCAGTGGTAGATGGATCATGGGTTAGAGTCCCCTTGCCTTTAGGCTAACTGTGGGACGTTTTCGAGGTTTACTTCATGTAAAGCAAATGCAGGGTAGTTCCTGTAAAAACAGGGTCCGACTTAGCCTAATTGGGGTCAAGGGCATTTGGGGGCCCCCTTCTGCCTCACTACATCAGTAATGAAGAACCAAACTTTATTGGGGTATTTAAATTTTTCACCTCATTATACATGTAGAACAAAAAATTGACTAGAACCTAAAATAGCTATAGCCTTCCTGTTAGGTCAGACGAAATATCATTCTGTCCATTTTATTGATTTTCTGACAATTCTATGTCCATCATGCTGTTTTCTGATTGTTAACTTTGTCATCTAGCTATGAAAGATTCATGTTACTGCTGACATTAGGGTGGAATTCAGCTAAATTTTCGCACTAACGATGGCTTACTTAAGCCAATCAGAAGCCTGTATTTTTGAAAACATATCGCATTTTGCAATATGTAAAAATACAGAATTTTGATTGATCAAATTTGTGAATTTTAATTGCAAAAATTTAGCTCAATTCTGCCCCTAGAAAGTCATGGATGTATGAAATATAGATTAATGAAGAAGCAAACATAAAATTGACAGTTTTTTCACTGAACTGATATTTTGTTTTAAAAAACAGTTTATAAGGAAGGAAATGCAAAATTAACTTCCTATTCAATTTCGGGACGCCCCTCTGATGTGGGAGCCCGGGGCAACTGCCCCTGTCCTAGTCAGGCTTTGGTTAAAAAATCTTACATGAAGGCAATCTCTCCCAATACTTGATCAAGGGGTTCCCTTGTCGTCTGGATAGGATCCAAACCTACAAGGCGACGGAGTTGAACATTGGTAGTCGTAAACCAAAAGTTGGGTCGGCTGCTCAACGCTGATAATGAAATAAAAAATTTGAAAAAAATAAAACCACATGTAGTCGGGCTTATCTAGTTTAATAAGAAATCTTCCGACAAATTTCAGAAATTTAGATTTTGATTATAAGCGCTATAACATTATACTTGAACGACTGCTTCTGGAACCAACCTTATTCACTCTTTCGCAACCATATGGCACTGAGAGCTGGTGGAAGCCATTTTAGCACAGTATTGTTGGGAGTTGAAAGTCTCTGAATGTTTTTCATACAATACAGTCTTTCATTTAATCCTTAGGATAGATGGTGGTATAAAAATAGACAGTTCAGTGCTTTACCATTGAATCATGCAGCACAATTCTTTGCTTTACAATTCAGCTGTGGAAAGACATTATATTGAATAGAAAGATACAGAAGACTTTATTAAACACAACTTGGACAGACAATATTAGACATCGTGACCGAAAATTTTTCAGGAAGCATGAAATTTGCATTCATCTGATTGCAAGAATATATACTCTTCTCAGATAATTCAATGGTAAATATCATCATAGCCCAAGCATAAGCACCTGATCCCACTTTTAGAGTTTCATCTTTTAACAGCCAAGACAGGTATGCCAGGGAATATTAATTCTGGTCAGACAATGTGGACAATGCCAGAACTGGTACCTCTCTCTTCAAACACTACCAGCCACAACAGATTTAACATGCCTCTTGGTGGGTATTGATTGTTTTGTCAGCCACCAGGTTTGAACTAACTACTCCCAACTCTCCATGCTTATATCTTAACTGAATATGCCATTGCAGCACCTAGTAAATATCTAAATCTTTGATTGAAACACTTGACAAGAGCCTTCAGCTATGGCAGATGGCACCTCCATATGAACTGTAATGTATAACTCCTTCTCTAAGATTTTTCTTCTGTTTTGAATCCTTAGTAATTGTTATGTGCAAACTAAGAATTCGGTTAGCACAGTTTTTCTGCATTCAGAGGAGCAGGAGATATTGGGTTTTCTCCAAAATTACTAATAGCCTTTGATTTTTGAAATAAGTTCACTGATTTTTTATGATCAATACGTCTGAAGTATGTCATATTTAATTAGTTTAAAGAGATGCTACTAAAATCTTTACACCAGCAAATATTACTAAGCCTGTTAGACCAGGTGATAATTAGTTTAAAACAAAGACGATGCATTTCTGTCAATATGCCCGAAGATGTGTAGTCCGATGTGTTCTGTGATAGGCAACCAAATTTAGACCTAGTTTGAATGGTATGATATAAGGCCATTCTCACTGAATGTGAAAAATTCAAAGATGAGAGTGACAACCTGGTCGTTGAATTATTTGTAGGTAAATATACTTCACCAATGGTGAATTTTTCACAAGTAAATTTTCAATTTTGTGGCGTAGTATAGTTAATTGTTAAATGAGTCTATACCCAAAACTTGAATATGTTAATCAGTTTGTCTGAAGTCTAAACAAATATGGGTTTGGAAGTGTGCTTGTTACATAAAAACCAGTTAAACCTCTTTTCTGACTTCAAATAACAAAGTTGAGACAAATATTTATAGTGAAAATAAAACATATGAGCACAATACCTGGGGTCAGCCTATCAAGTTTTCATTTACATCTCCAAATTCTCACACGTTACTTTTTGTCATGCAATATGAACAGTCCATAATACCAATTTTACTTTCAGAATCTAATATTTTTGCCAGAAAATTTTGACTTAGATTAGTTCATCTGGTTGTACATGAGATTTTGTTGGGTAGGCGAGAAGCCATAGTTGCAAGGCTAGTATCACTAGTCAAGTGAGGAAAAAGCAACATCTTTCCTAAAATTGTGCTACATTTCAATTTTCGCAGGATGCATCGCAGTCCTCCAAAGGAAATTTTACTTGACTTTTAAAAACTAAGCATAAGAAGTATCTCTCAACTCATGAATGTTAAACTGGAGAAAATTTTATTCCTTTCAAAAAAAAATTTCATTTTTTGAAATGATGGGAGATCAAGGTTTGAATGTACTTTTCCACTCATCTAAATTTAATTCATGGGCATTAATTTTTCCAAATAAAAATTAGCGCTACTAAGCAATACATAAGATCAGGCATATTTGACTCCTGTGGCATTTTGTTCTACAGTTGCTGTAAAATAACAGCTAAATTGACTAAAATTGAAGACTGTCTTATTTGCTATCCTAAGTGGTCCCGGATATTCTCATTTGGTAACAAATCAGGAGATCATACAGGCCAGGGAAGGATAGTAATGTGGAAGAGTCATTCCTATGAGCCCTTATTGTGCATGGCCAAACATTGTTTGTTGGAACCTGGTAAACCTTTCATTAGGGGCAACACACATGTAGAAAGATGCCATGAACATACCACTGGACTGTTTTGGCATATAGAATCAATATTAAGGGTGATAAAATGTCATATCAATGGCACCCCATACAGTCACACCAGCTGTAAAAGTGTTAAAGTGGTGTGCCGCATAGTCAGTATACACACAACAAGTGGTGTCACTCTTAGCAAAATTGGACTGTAACCCAATGGAACCATGTTGTCTTCAGCGATGATTTAAGATTAATTTAGTCTGTAGTGATCACCATGTATAAATGAGGAGCCTCCATGGTGGTGAACTCTTTGAGCCTCCCTAGCTTATCACTTCAACAGCTAGTGTGATGGCGTGGGGAGCAATCATACATGATCACCCCTAATATTGATCCACAGAGCCAGAACAGCTAAGTGATACATTAGTCATATCCTTCAGTCAGATATGTTGCTACTTCTGTCAAGGCTCCTAGGAGCTATTTTTCAACAGGACAATGCACAGCCCCACTGCCACCTTTTCCCAGCCTGTTTGATCCCTAGATTTGTTGTGGAACAAGCATATCTGGGACCATTTGAGGTGGCAAGCTGGACATCCTCTGAGTTTATTCAATTTACAGCAATTGTGAAACGAGATGGCGCAGGACATAAAAGACTTGTATGTCTCAATGCTTGATAAATAGCATCCTGCTTTCAAGCTAGAGCTGGTCCAAGAGCCTCCATTTATTTGTATTTCTTGCAGCAAAAAATGATCATTTTGTTTTGATTTTTAATCACTCAAGATTGTACTTACTTATGATTTTTTTCTTTCTTCTGATAACTGTTTCTAGGTGTGCTAATCTTTATAGTAATATTAGTGTAAGGAGCAATCCCAAAAAATACAGTGAATGAAGTCGAAGGAAAACAGGAATATTACTTTATGGAAGAATTAACAAGTATGGTATGAGGGCTCAATTTTTTTTTCTTGCTAAATCTCTTTTTTAAGTGAAAAATGCAAAGGAAATAAGCATTACCATATAATGAATGAGCATATGTTTTGTGGTTTGGCACATTTTTTTGAACGTTGAATTCCTTCCTATCTAAAAATTGAGATTTTTCCACCTACCCTTTTGCAATGGTGCAGAAAGATTAAAATTTAGGACATAGCACCCGCTTGATGCCATTGATTTGACTGTTTTTTTTTTTTCTCTGGCAAACCATTGTTACTAAACAATTTTGTCATTTCGCTAGCTCTCTTCTCAAGAAGGAAGGTGATCGTTATTTGGAGGTCAATAGCTCTTGGTTTGTAATTTAAAGAGCAGCAATTGGGTGCCATGTCATAAATTTCAATCTTTCCACACCACATCCACAGTAAAGTATTTATAAATTGTAAAAAATTAAACTATGGTTCAAAAATATTTAGAAATAGAATAGCAACAGGAAGGAAATGATAACTTACATTTCTTCATCTAATAGAAATATTTCACGCTCCGTAGTACTTTCTTGCAAATCTTCTTCTATAATGGATTTTGATACCTAAAACAGCAAGAATGTTAAAAAAAAAAAAATAATAATAGGGTCGTAAAAAGGTAAGCAACAATAATCAAATAAAGCCTAACATAACCCACGATACAAATAATGTCAGTTGGATAGATGGCTCTCACTTATTGACAAGTAAAACGATTGCAATGGACTTCATTGCTTGAATATTTTGCATCTTTAAGGGAATATAAATTAAATAAAAACTTCGCTTATTATTCTATAAAACATATTCAACCAATAATACAATAAATACTCACAGCTTACTTTAGAGAAGTTGTGAGTATAAGTAGATGATTATAATAAGTAGTAGATGAGTAGATGAATATAAAAGTATAAGTAGAGATAAAAAAATAAAAAAAAGTTATAGAATTCAGAATTTCCAAACAAAGTTTCAAGGATAAGCAAAAATGTGGAAAAAATTCAACTTATTACATATTGATACTCTAATTTTGTTAACCCGTTTTTAGTAAAATCATCATATTGAAGCTCAACTTTTTTATTTCCATAAAACAGAGTCTACAGTGCCAAGTTGCCCACTTACCATTAAAAAAACTATTTTTACTGAATCTCTATTCACATGACTAGGTTAAACAGTTATTAAACCCACATCACAGAATTGTTTTTAGAGCAATGATTTCAAAACTTTTTAAAAAATATATAAATTTGTGTTTAATTGAGTAGCAATACAATCAGCAATTCAAATAACTAGAAATATTTAGTTGTTATTTAAATAACTGATTGATAAAAAATTAAACATTACATACATGACGAACAACAATAAATCCCAATATACAAATATTTATAGTACATTAATTTGAAAATACACTCACATTTGTTTCTTCAGCTATACTTTTCTTAAATCTTTCCCATTCTTCTTCTTGAGGATCTACATATTCAACTTTTCTAGCCTAAAATAATAAAGAAATAACAATGTATTAGTTTAAAATTGGTTACTAAAATAAAATTTCACAATAAATTTGCATAGTTTGAACTTCCTAATTTGCTCTTGCACTGAAACTTTTCCCTTATCTATCATTTCATCCTTCAAGAACATAATAGATTTTTGATAATAAATTTGGATGCTATGTTCCATAGCTCAATAGTTCCAAAATACAGCACAAAGCTTGTATTGTTTAAAAATAATGCCGAAAAATATTATATTCAATCTGTTTTAATATATATTCATTTGAAATTTTTCACTTTAAAAGTACAAAATAAAAAATTTCAAAAATTAACTTAGAATAGATTCAAGACTAAAGAAAAGATCAGTAATTCCTTTCTGGTACTTAACATCTATCACTTAGTTTACAGTGGCTGCAAAGTTATGGGTTTTACAAATAAACATAAATAAAAGTTTCAAATATCAAGAGTTGATCATATAATGATTATTAGCTTATTTAAATAAGTGATGAAACATGTGGTTTCTTAAATGTCTAAGAGAGGAATTTTCTGAAAAACTATTTGAAATAAACAAACTGTGACAGATTACAAATAAATCTAACAATAAAACCACTAATTAATATATAGGATATAGCTAAAAATTTATAGCAAATACACTAAAAATAAGCTAGGGCCAGAGGTCCAAAGAATTATTATTGTCAACTGCTGTTTTTTTGGTCTGCAAGGATTTCCAAGATCTAGAGTACTTAGATTTAGTACCAAGATACTATTATATAAAGTATTTAGAAGATCTGTACTTACATCAATTTTAAACTGGTTGCAGTATTTCATGTTTGTGAAAAACATTTAATAGACTTAAATATGAAGTTTTCATGATATTTAGAAATACAGTTTCAATAAAAGTTATAACATTGTCACATTCATATTTCTTTTCAAATAAAAGTAGATTATTTAAGCTTAATTAAATGCAAAAATATTAAACCTCAATCAGAAATATCCTCTTTCTGTACGCATATTATAGAATTAATAGTTTTAAAATATAGACATGCTATAGTTGCAAACTTTAAATATCAATTGATCAAAATATATCATTTGGTTTATCAGGTTGATAAGAGATTCATTTGCAACAGAAAGAACAATGCATGTTAAATAAAAACTTGTAACTGTTAATCAAAAATTTAGATTTTTACATTTAATTCTTGTTTTAAAAATGCAGGAAAGATAAAAAAAAAAAATAAAAAAAAATTACGTCTAATCTGAGAAAAGAACAAAAAAATTATACTTGTCATAGAACAAAAATACTAATTAAACAAAAATAGATTAACCAATATGATTTAAGTATTTAATACAAATAAACATATGGGGTAATAAAAATGTTCAACTTCACAATTTATTGATAACTTTAAATAATATGAATTTGATGTATAAGAATGGGCAATAGTAAAGTAATAAAAGTAATATAAAGAAATGGCTTTAAATGTTTTGTTTAAGTTTTCATCTATTCCAATGCATTCAACCTATATAAAAGTCTTGTTTAAACAGAATAAAAGTTTAAAAAATTTCACTATATACCAAAAATAAAATGCTTTATTACTATTTTTTTTAAAACAAAATTGAAAATAACAATTTAAAACACTGAAATTTAAAATAGGTTGAAGCCACTTATCAATTAAAAGGAAAGTTAAATAAATATTTTAATAAAATAATGTAGATTAGTTGTAGAGATACCATACAACAACTTGCAAGATCATAAGAGTGTCATTATGCTAATAAGAATAAGAAAAAAAAGGTTTTTAGTCCATTATAACTACAACAAGATAGATACAATAAGATAGCTTTAATCTATGTACTGTTCCTTAATTTGTGGGTCACAAAATATTGTAATAGCATTTTCTTGTATTGTAATATTGTAATTATAAAAAAATCATTTGAGAAATGTTTGTTATCGGTCAGTAATTCCACTTTAAGAGGTCAGCAGGAAAAGACACCAATTGACATTCCAAAGAAAAAAATCAGAGTTTAAAAACATTTTGTGATCAACTAAATATATTTTTTTCTGTTTCTTAGTTTTTTGGGAAAGTTCTTTTCAAACTGGAAGTAATTTTAATATGAAATTTTGTATGAATGGAACAAGAATGTAACTGTACACTGACCTCTATGATGATAATAGAATGAAGAATTGAATATACAATTTAATTTATGAAATTATTTACTCAATGACATAGGTTATATAAAAAAAAAAAAATTTTTTTAATTCCATAATTACATATTAGGTTAAAAAAAATTCTATTTAATAATAATGTAGGACATGAAAAAGATTTCAAATTACTTAATCATCGACTTCATGACTAGAGTTTAACATGATTTAAATTAAGTTGATTTCTGAAATGAATAAAATCATCTATGCCAAAATCTAAGCAAAAGGTCTAAAAAATAAAAAAAAATTATTACCTTGGCATCTAGTATAGGATCATCAAAGAAGCCTTCAGGTAAAGTTTCAGCTTTTTTAGAAGCATCTTTGGTTTTATTTTGGTCATCTGGAACTTTTGCAGATTCAGGAAGAACTCCATTTGGTGTAGAATTATCAAAAAAATCTGGCAAATTGAAAGTCATTATTAAAAGTAAAGTATTACAGTAAAACCTTTCGGGAGTGACCACTTTCTATTTCACAATAAAATGGTTGTTGATGGACTTTGGTCATTGTTAGGGTTTACCTCCAATGACATCAAAATGTTATCAAAGATACATGATTCTAGCAAGCAATTTTAATTTTACTCGGTGTCATTTTTTTGGCGCAGAAATACCACTTGTGTTGGCATCGTGAAAACCAGATCAATGAATAATTTTACCGTAAATAAAAATGATCCCTACTGATACAATTATGTGTAAAAACCAATTTACCAATTGTGAATGATAAAACAATTTTAAATAAATAAACAATTATGTCTTCTGTTTAAGTTTGCTTTTAAATTTATATCATAAAAATTTTTAAATAACTTTTCTTTCGAATTTACTTTTAAACTCTAAAACTAAATCATTAAAAGCATCCTCTTTAGTACACTCTGACTGTAACATGAGGTTCTCAATCTAAAAATGAGCTCTCTAAATAATAGATGATTTTGATATTTTTTCCAGTTTTCTTATTTGACCTTTTCCGCATTTTGTTTGGAGGTTTCCGTGGTCAATGTGAGCGGTTTCGATGATCTCTCCAAAGGCTTTTCTTCAACACAAGTTCCATGGAAAAATTTCTTGCCACCCGAGCGTGGTCGTAAATGGAGATCATGACACAGAGGTGGTCTGTTCTGGAGGTTTCACTGTATTATTAATAAAAATCTCAATTTGATATGTACAGATTTGTTAAAAAATTACATACTTAAATATGTTTCATACAGAATGGTTTTAAAACAATAATCACAATGTAAAGAATTATACAAATGAAATAACATTTTTACATGTTTTACAAATTATGATACAATGATGTCGATGTTTTACAATTATGATTATTTATTTTTTTACAATTTATGATAACCTATTTAAAATGACATTTTTGAACACTTTTTATTTTTGAAGAACTTTTTCATTGTTTAAATTAATTTTGTGTGAAACATGTTATTTTTACATGCTTTTAAATTATTAAAAAATCATAAAGAATTGTTTCTAATTCTAATAAAATTATCTTAATAATTATGATTTTTGTAACTTTTGCACAGTGAAAAAAGAAATGACAGAACCACTTTAAGGGATTACTTCAATATTGAATTAAGATTATAAAGAAAAGTATTATTTTTATAAAAGTTGGTCTCAAAAACGTGCTGTCATATGTAATATAAATTGGCCCTATTTCAAAACATTTATAGCTTAAGATTAAAATATAAGATACTTATATTACTCCGGATAAATAATATGGCATTTATAATCAATCAACTATATCAAATCTTTCATTGTGTCACATACCTTCTTCATCCCTTCACACCTTAAATATAACAAAACTTTCTTTCTTTAAAAAATGAAATTATTTCTTTGTATTTACTGACTAAACACTTTTCTTCACAAGATTGTGAGAAGTTGTTTTTCAATCAAATCAGAGAACAAAGTCTCCAACATTTAACGTATTTATCTGAAGTTGAGTAGGCTTTAAAACACTCACTGTGGATTGAACCCTAGTTTTTCATAATGGTATCTCAATGCCCTAAACCATAGCAACTCTATACCAGAGCATGAAGTACCAATTCTAAAAATATTAGCTGAACTAAAATTTCGCTCTTCATTATTTTTCACTCATATAGTATAATATATTTATTAAAAAATATATATTTATTTACCTGTGGGTAAAGCAGAAAATGTAGTCGCAGTTGCGGTTTTGTCTTCATCTTCAGAATCATCAGATGACGATTCTGATGAGTAACTAGCTAAGAGATTAGCTGCAGCAGTTGGCTTTGTAGCTCTAAATAAATATAAAAAATTTATATAATATATCTTTAAGTACTTTTAGCGTATACAACTTCAAAAGTTTAAATCACAATATAAGTTTCCATTTGCATTAATAAAAGAAAGCAAATGAAATAGAATTAAAGGTTAAGGATTCAAAAATTAGAATGAAAAATAAATATCAACCTTATGAATACACATCAAAAGAAAATATCTCTAAGCAAACTCTTCTCCTTTAAGTTCAATCATATGGAGAGTTGCATTTAAAACAAAATTTTAAGAAAAATTGAAATGTACAATGTCTGAGGAGAAAAAAAATATATTTTCAATAATATTTTCGAGTTAAATTTAACGAATAAAATTTAGATATCTTTACATTCAGTATTTCAGGCATAGATCTTTTAAAAAAAGTTTTCTCCATAGAAATTTAATTAATTTGCTTGTTTTACGTAGAAACACATTATTGAATTGTTGAAATAAAAGCTTTTCTTATTTTAAAGAAATTTGCCAAAATATATTGATTACTTAAATACGATAACTCAATTAACATCATTGTTACACTTTTTTGATAATATGTATTCTGTATATTTATTTCATATGTTATCAATCAACTAGAAAATTGCTAAAAAAAATCATTCATGCCTTAAAAATTTTGTTATATTAAAAAAAAATTTAGACACAGTGCAAAAAAAGTATTAAAATCTTAATGTGATGCAAGATTCTGAGAAAAATTTCTTTTCCAATGTATTTACTGATAAATTTGTTTAGTACAAACAAGTTAATTAAAAAATAATTAAAAATTAATTCACTTATAGAATAAGCTTTAAAATTAAAAATAAAAACAATATTATCAACCAAACATCTTATATATTTTGTCGTATATAAAATTAAAAAGAAGTGAATGCTATAAATTAGTTCATATCGCAAAAATAATTTTGGTGAGCATATGATGTATGCTTAAAACTGTTTCAAAAAAGGGGCCATAAACATAAATGTTATTATCCCTTGATTAAAATCCCTTGTTAATCCCTTTTTTATTAATCTTTAAAAAAAAAAGTCCTTGAAAATAGCACATTTGGCATTTAAACAAAAAATGAGCCTCACATTCTCATTTACGTGTACTATTACATTGAAAAATATGCACATAAGAAAATGCTACTATCTATTCTGCATAAACTGAGCCTTAGACAGTCGACATGTTACATGGCAGTTTCCATGAGAACTGTGTAATCCACTGGAATGCAAGTAGGATAGAAAAGTAAGTAAGTATGCATCAAACGATTCACTTTTGCTGCTTCTCTTCACATTCATAATAGAGTATGATATCCTGCTTTTCTAGCAAAAGCAATGGCACATTTGTACTGACTGAGGCTTTGATGGTGATGAGCATATGGGCAAAACTTTTTCTTTCATTGATATATATTTAATAGTATTTCTTAAAAAATTATATGGAACGTTTTTCAACAGCTTAATATTATACACACAAATAAAAAGTGATAATTATAAATGATTTATTCAGAATGAGAATATAAAATGTGACTGATATTACATAAAAAGGACATAGAGCAAAACATAATTTTTATATTTCGCAATTCTTCTTCTTATATAAGCAATAATGGAATTACTTTTTCTTTATTTCAAAAAATGAAATAATTTCAAATTAACAGGAAACAAAGTACACATGAAATGTCAGATAGAAAGTTGCAAACAGAGAAGAAGCTTGTGACCGATACTACAAATAAAAATATTAAAATTTTAATAAACTTTTCATTATTATTAGAAAATACTTAAAAATGAATGAGAAAATACTTAGACTTAAAACTTTTGATTTTATATCTAAAATAGTTAAAAAAAACTCATAAATTTGTAAGAAAATGTTATTAAATGTTTAATTTTTTTGTTATGTTGTCCTTTGTATCATAAAATTGCTTACTTGTTTTTTTCTTCTTTTTTTTTTACTGTTTAGCTTATTATTAATAACAGGATTGAACGTAACACTGAAAGCAAATTTGTAAACTTTTGATAAATAACAGAAAATACTATAAGCAATAAAAATATTACAAACCGTAGGAAAAGATAAATGGCCATACAAAAAATTCAAACTTGCCTTGAAGTGACAGCAGAAAATTATAAAAACAACATAACTTAAACATAAAGGGCAATTCAAAAAATAGGCGTTTACATCTAAGCATTTGAGATAAAAGATAAAATCTTGGCGACGGCATAAAAATATAGAGGCAAAACTTAAATGAAATATTTAAAAATTGCTTACTGTGGAACTTGAGGCACTTTGAACTCATCTGCTGTAAAATCAACAGAAAATTAATAAAATATACCTGATATAAATTTCTTGTCTAAAAAAAGAAGGAAAAAAGTAAAAGTTAAAACAAGCTCGATAACTTTAAAATTTTAACTAATCAATCACGCATGTCAGAATGTAAAAGTTAGTAAGCAGAATTTTTTTTTTTCACTTTATACAGCAGCCACACTTCCCATTAAGAGACTAAGTCAATGAAGGTCAAGCTGAAACACTAACCTCTTCAATATTTATAAATGAAAACAAAATGCTTTAATAAGAAAACAAACTGATCATTTTGTTGGTAAATCATAAAATGACATGTGTTCCAAAAATGGGTTAAATTTGTAATAAAATAGTTATGTCTTTTAATGAATTTCAATGACAAACAAATTAAAAACTTAGATTCTCAGTGTAATCAATTGCAAAGAAAAACAATTATATTTCCTAAATACTGAATCACTTAAAAGTTAAAAATTCTGAATCATGAAAACATTTAAAGTAGCAAAATATTTGAAATATATAATTCTGAATATAATGTTTACCAAAAACAAAACAAAAACTGCTGTTAACTAAACTTTTCTTCTATGTATGGTGGCTTGTCATTTAGGTTTGTTATTTAGATCTTAAAATAAGAAATTTCTGAGAAGAAAACTTCTATATTTAATGTATTTGAAAATGTAGCAGAAAAAAACCTATGTATAATAAATATATGATTAGATGCCTTAATATAAAAAATGACATTAATATAAAAAACATAAACTTATAGTTCTAAAACAATGTATTTTATGTCTTGTAAATTAAAAAGATGATGGTAATCAAAAGCTAACTGTCATAGTGTAAATTCATTTTTTTTTTAATAAAAACTCCACTACAAAAACCAAATTAAAACATACAGATTCAATACAATATAAATTAAATATTTTAAATTTAAAACAATAAGGATTTAAATCATTCATTGCTTTAACAAACTTGTAAAAAATTTTCAATTCTGTAAAAGGGATAAATTAGTGTAATGAAGCAATATGAATTAGAACAATCTTTAACTAGATTGAGAGTGGAGTTTAATGAAGCACAAGCCCTAATCCATTATATTATTCCTAACTTGACCAGCAATAAGTATTTGAAGTTTGAAATCAACTGATTATTATACAAACTGCGTATGATGCAAAAAGACAGAAGAATAATCACTTTTGGACAATCAGACCTTTGTGTATCTAATCAGGACAAAACCCCGAAGGTTTCAATTGCTCAAACTCAAAAAAATAAGTATGATTAAAAACTATGAAGTATATTTTCAACTTATTTAAAAAGGCAGATGTAGCTACTGCTATATTTTGGTTGTTTACCTTGTGTTACATTTTGCTATGGTTGATTGAACTAATAATAAACTTTTAACAATCATGCAAAACTTATAAGCACATTATGCACAGACTAAATTTACATTGTGATTAATATAATTTATTTTTCTAAACCAAAGAAATATTGCAAATACTAAATAGAACAATTTAGAAAATTACAAAATGAAGAATGAGAATAAAATAAATAATGTAGAAGCAAAATAATAATATAATGGTATGCAAAATGAGTAAAAAAAGATACTTTTAGCTTTTTTCAGAACATTTGGCTGTTCAATAGATCTTTTAATTCCAACTGCAATATCATTGCTTGGAGGGTTGTCAGCACTGCCCTTTTTCGCTTTGTGTAAATTCTAGAAAAACAAAAAATTTGGAATTAATGAAAACATATTTTTATTCAAATCATAAGTTAACTTTTATCCCAATCATAAGTCAAAAACTGAGCTTTAACTTTATATTTTCAAAATATTTTTATGACAAACTCGTTGTTGAGATATTAGTCTTATTAAAGATATTAACTTTATTGTTTATATATTTATATATATGAATAAAGTTATGGTACTCATTCATTTAGAATTTTTATTTGATTTCTAATAGATATATTATGAAAGCATCAATAACAAAACTACTTTGTTATCAGTTCAAGGGGTAAAACCAATTAATTGTTTAAGTTAATTTCAATGGAAAAAGGCGAACTAGTTATTTATTTTAACTTGTAAAAAATGTCTCACATAATTCTGTAAAGTTGAAAAATAAATTTTAAAAATTATATTCATGAGCTATAAATACAGTCGATGCTCTTTAGTATTACCCTCTATTACTACAAGTCTTTCATTATATGACCGATACACAAAGTCTTGTTTATATCATAAACGCGATATAAATTAACAGTTGTTTCAACACCCATTAAAAACGGTTAGACTAAACAGCCCCATCGGATATAGAGCCCAATTTATATATTTTTATTTTAAGAAAATATTTGTCCATACAGGTGTTTAAAAATATTGTGCTTTCAAACAAAATTTCAAAATAAACATTTTCATTGACAATGAGTCAATGAACAGTAAAAGTCTACTATAAACTACTCAAACCACCATTTTTAAACTTTGTTATAAACCAAAAAAAATAAAAAAAAGAAAGAACAACTTATTTCAAAAAAGTCAGGACATTTTTTCGGATAAGTATACATCAGACTACTTTTTCAAAAGGCAAACTAACAAAATCCTTAATCTTCCCTGCTTAAGTGTGATAAAAGCAAATTTTATTCAAAACGAAAAATAAAATATACATTTTTTCAATTTTAGAGTTATTTTGTTTAGAATAGTTACTTTGTTTTAACAAGTTTCCAGAATAATTTTATGAATTCTCAGCAACTCATTATAGTTTCAAGTAAATGCATTAAAAATTTTTATGGTACTGTTAGATTAAAAAATAAATAAATAACCACTATCAATTATTTAATATTCCCTCACACCAATATATATTTAAAATTTGTGATTGAGTTCAGGATATTCTTAATCAAAAAACTTTTAGAGTTTTATAAATCTCAAAGAGAAAAAACAGTGAAATGCCACAAATAGTGATATGCCACTTAACACTTTTGTACAAGTCATTTTAATGGACGATTCCTCAATTCCTTGTTTAAAAATTCTATGATATAACTGTATTGTTCACTGGAATCAATCCAGTTTAAAACACATGAAAGAGACATACCATATATATATACATTGTTAAACTACTTAAGACCACCCTCAAGATTTTTTACTTTGATTAAAATAATAAATAAGTATATGACCAATGAATTCATAAAAGCCTTGAGGCAGAATTTTTTCGAGCTATCTGCAACAAAACACTCTAGCACTAATATCTTTCTGCAAGATACTTTTAATAATAACAAACATATATGTTACTAATTTAAAATAACAAAAAGTGTTGTTTTTACAAAAATAACTATATAATTTTTTTTAGTAAAACATGTAATAATTTTTAATTCTAATATTAAGGGGGATATTCTCACATTTTGTAAATAATTATAGAATAAAAAATACAGTTAAATATCATGAAATTCCTAGTAATAATTGCCAAAAATAAGATCAACAAAATTACGCGAATCGGGCTCCTCAAATGCGCGTTTCGTTTTGAGATTACATATATTGCATAAAAAATATAACTATGGAGAAATCAATAACAATAACTGCCAAACACTCGATAGAATTATTGCATTAAAAAATAAATACTCAAATGCACGATTCGAATTTTTTAAATTGTTTGAAATATATTGGGAAATGTCAAATCTACGCGAAAATGAATATCATTAACTGTAATGTATTATAAATACAATCAAAACATTACATCGATTTACAATACTAGCGTCTATATTGAGCACGTCAAAAAGTGATTTTCTAAATGCATGTTTCAAATGTGACGTATGTAAATTTCTGTAGAAAAGAAAAGTAATTTTTTTTTCAAAAGCAAAATCTTTCTGCAAGAACTCTGTAACATTCTGCAACAATGTCGCCGCGTCGCTGCGATTCTGTCACGGGGCATAAAAGTAAGAGCAGAAAATTTTTTGAAAACTTTGGAGAGCTTAAAGTTGCAGGGTTATAATTGGATCCATAAATTTTGAAAAATTCAAGTAGGACATCGCTAAAAGAAATACTCGATAGCAATAATCAGTAAATATCATGAAGCATAATAAAGAGTTCTAAAAATATAGTGCTAACACAAATGAATTAATGAATATGAATTGAAAAACAGTGCTAAGAGATAAACAAGGAAATGAAGAAAAAAATTTGTCTGTACTTAAGGTTTATACTACCCATTATAGGTATTTAAATTTATTTTTTCTTTGTATTCATATTCCAAAATATTTCATAAGTTTAAAACTTTTTAATATACTTCAAAGCTTTTATTTTTTAAATGTACNAACTCTCTAGCACTAATATCTTTCTGCAAGATACTTTTAATAATAACAAACATATATGTTACTAATTTAAAATAACAAAAGTGTTGTGTTTACAAAAAAAAGTATATAATTTTTTTTAGTAAAACATGTAATAATTTTTAATTCTAATATTAAGGGTGATATTCTCACATTTTGTGGGAGGGGACACAAATTATTTTCTTCACATTTTGTAAATAATTATAGAATAAAAAATACAGTTAAATATCATGAAATTCCTAGTAATAATTGCCAAAAAATAAGATTCACAATGAAATTATGCGAATCGGGCTCCTCAAATACGCGTTTCATTTTGAGATTACGTATATCGCATAAAAATATTGGATTAAAAAACTATGAAGAAATCAATAACAATAACTGCCAGAAACTCGATAGAATTAGTGCATTAAAAAATAAATACTCAAATGCACGATTCAAATTTCTCATATTGTTTGTAATATATCGGGAAATGTAAAATCTAAGCAAAAAATCAATATCTTTAACTGCCAAAAATATAATCGAAACATTACATCGATTTACAATACTATCGTCTATATTGAGCACGTCAAAAAGTGATTTTCTAAATGCATGTTTCAAATGTGACGTATTTAAATTTCGGTAGAAAAGAAAAGAAATTTTTTTCTCGAAAGAAAAATCTTTCTGCAAGAACTCTAACATTCTGCAACAATGTTGCCGTGTCGCTGCGATTCTGCCACGGGGCATAAAAGTAAGAGCAGAAAATTTTTTTAAAACTTTGGAGAGCTTAAAGTTGCAGGGTTATAATTGGATCCATAAACTTTGAAAAACTCAAGTAGGACATCGCTAAAAGAAATACTCGATAGCAATAATCAGTAAATATCATGAAGCATAATATAGAGTTCTAAAAATATAGTGCAAACACAAATGAATTAATGAATATGAATTGAAAAACAGTGCTAAGAGATAAACAAGGAAATGAAGAAAAAAATTTGTCTGTACTTAAGGTTTATACTACCCATTATAGGTATTTAAATTTATTTTTTCTTTGTATTCATATTCCAAAATATTTGATAAGTTTAAAATTTTTTAATATACTTCAAAGCTTTTATTTTTTAAATGTACCTCATAGCCTTCAGTAAGGAAAAAAACTAGAATGATTTTGTTCCGAAACTATAATGATTCAGAAAACCAAATTAAAATTATAAGACTTCAATAACTAGCTTTAATTATTCATTGATAATTATAAGTCTAGTATTAATTAATCCTTTGATAGTCATCAGTGCAAAAAGTCACATATTGATCCAGTTCATTCCATATTTTTAGATAAAATGTATAACTGTATCAAGTATCTCATATTAAGACCAGTCTTGCATATTACTTTGACACCAAATCAACTATGCAAAAACAAAACTTACTTCTTTATGAGTTTTTCCTCCAATATGAGCCACCCACAAATTATTACTTTTTATTACTATATTACATATAGTGCAACTAAGCTGACCTGAGCTGTTATATGTAATCAGATATTAAGGAAAATATTTTGCAAAAACAAAAATATTATGAGTCAATAATGTAAAATAAAAATGAAAGCTTAAAGAACTTTTAATAGAAATAAACTAAATATAGTTTAAAATAATATTTGGTTATTTGAAAATATTACATTGAAGAAGCATGATATTTATCAACCAAGTTTATAAAATACCTTAACAAATTATAGAAATACAAATCATTTATAGTATCAATGTGAAATAATAACATGTATTGAAACTTTTAGGTAGTTATGGGCAATTTTTCATAGAAATAGATCACTCTTCATAAATAACTAAAATAAAAGATAATTAAATTGCTAATCCATAAGTTTTTTTTTCTTCAAACAATGCAACCTTTTTATGATTAAAATTCATAACTAATGAAATTATCATAAAAACTGTTTAAAAAAATTTTTATCGAACAATTCAATACAGTTATGAGGAAAGTTATTATAACAATTGAATGTTAGTAAAAAATATAAGGATTAGTAAACATATTATAAAAAATCTATAAAAAGTAAAATGCCAGTTTTAAAAAAAATGCTGAAAAACAATGGAATACTTAAAATATTACGAAGTATGAATTTACAACATTTAGTAGCAAAGGTTTTCCTATTGTTCTAGTTAAAATTAAAACCTGCATAAATTCTGTAAAATCTATAGTAGTTGGTATCCTGACTAATACAATAAAAACATGGATGTGGGAAAACTTTTTAAATGCTGATAAAATGAGAGCAACATGGAAAAAAAAATTTAGAGAATCAAATAAATATTCACACAATTAAAAAATAAAGAAAAAAAAGAAATCTGTGGAAAATTATAACAATAATTATATTTTTTGCGAAACAAAAATGTAGAAAAATAAAGTTATTCACTCACTCAATTCCATTTCAATTCCAGTTTTAAATTTCAAGACAATGAAAATATGAAAAAAAATTAGATAAACATGACAACCAATGCTGACGTCTTCAGGGGGTACCAGTTCCGACAGTCATAAAAGCAAAACCTTATCTATCAAGAGAGCAAGACAAAAGTCTAAAACTGCTCTCTCTGTATCCCAAAGGTTTTGCCAAAGTCCAGGAAAAGAATATAATACATAATATAGAATATAAAATACATAAAGCAAATACAGAAGAATAAAAACAAGACAAATACATAAGAAAAGTACGAACAAAAGCTTACTTGAAATAAAAATCTGATAACTAGATAACACAACTGACTGCGAGACACAACTAAAATAAAATAAACATAAAAACAATGCCCCCTAACCTGTGCAGTTTAAAGAAAAAAAGGACAGAAGTTAAGAAAGTAGTAACCTCAATATAAGATATTTGAAAGTGAAAGTCTTAAAACAAATATTAAAGACACAAACACAGATTTATAGACATTATAAACGCCATAAATCTAACAAAATTTTTACAATTCTCAAGAATTTTTATAGTTACAGTGTAGTGATAAATAGTTTATGATAAGAGATGTATAATTTGATAGATGCCTAACTTCCATTGAATGGGCTTCAGACAGAAATGCAGCTAGATTTTTAACAGTCATAAAGACCTGTTACCAGATTGCGTTGTCAGTCATAGTTGCGTTGAAAAATTCCATTTAAGTAACATAGGTTGGGTCTCTGATTACATAAAAGTTGGCTAAAATAAAATTGAATTGATATTATGTATTACACTGCTGGACAATTGCTAAGGACGGATCACAAATTGCAATGTAGCATAACATTAAGCGAGACATGAGACCCAGTAGGAGAAAATATAGTTGCCACACTGTTCAGACATTAGAATAAAGAATATTCATTGTTCTGGAAAGTACAAAAGCTATGAAACATTTGAAGGAAAAAAAAATTTTATTGGATGCTGCGTACAGAAAAATGGAACAATGCATCTAAATGTCAGCAGGCAACTTAAAGAAAAGTGTCAGTACGGGATATGTCCACCGTGGAGTGTGATGCAACATTCTACAGTTCGTATCATACTTTGCACAACATTATCCAGCAGCTGTTGAGGCAATTTATCCCATTCCTCTGTCAGTGCACAGATGAGGGTGTTCTTGTTTGTCGGAGGATAGTTTCGACCAGCAAGTTGCCTCCCCAAAGCATCCCAAACATTTTCAATGGGGTTTAGATCTGGAGAACGTGATGGCCATACGAGGCGTTGAATACCCTCGCTGTCTAGACAATCCTGAACAGCGAGTGTTCGATGACATGTTGCGTTGTCGTCCATAAAAACAAATTTATCACCGACAGCACCACGGAAAAGACGAACATGAGGAAGTAGAACTTCATCAATGTATCGTTGGCCCGTCATAGTCCCATTCGCAACCACATGTAGGCGCGTGCGGCCATTGATCATGATGCCGGCCCACACCATGACACTGCATGTCGGATATCGGTCCCTTTCCTGGATATTTTCTGGACGATAACCAGTACCACTCTCGCGCCAGATCAGTTGGCGTCTACAATCCGATGACAGACTGAACCTACTCTCATCTGAGAATAGTACGCATGCCCAGTCCTGTTCAGTCCAATTGTGATGCTCACGACACCATTGCAAACGGGCAGTACGGTGCTGTCTGGTCAATGGGACACACACAACAGGTCTGCGGGCGTATAGTCCTCCTCCCCTCAAACGTCTGGCAACAGTTTTTCGGGAGATCTGCTTTCCTGTGGCAGCAAGAAACTGATTTGCCACCTGCTGAGCTGTGGTGCGCCTGTTCCTTTTTGCTGATAGGACGATGTATCTGTCTTCTGCAGGCGTCGTACTTCTAACACGACCTCCCCCGTGCCGCCTACTACACATTCCAGTAGTTTTAAATGATTTCCACAGCCGTGAAACAACGCTGTGAGCGATGTCGAACTCCCTGGCAACATCTGTTATTTTTCGCCCTTCTTCGATCTTTCCAATAATTCGGCCACGCTTAAAATCATCTAAGTGATATCGGGAAGACATGCCGAAAATTTCAAGTTCGTCAACTAAATCTTTCCTGTAAAACTTTGACTTGAAACAACAACTCTCCACACGCGTCAAAACCTTTAAAGCTCTTATCAGCGCTATCACGTGATAAGCAGAAGTGGAAAAAAAATTTGCATACGCATACTTTTTCTTACTATATCCCGCACTTATTCTAATTTTCCACATTTTGCTTCCTTTCATTTTGTGGTTGCTATGGATGATAGTGTTATCCGTCCTTATCAATTGTCCAGCAGTGTAGAATTGAATTTGGTCAATTCTATCATAAATCCAAATGGTTTAAAATCCTACTTTTTCTAATACTACATAATAACAAAAAAAATTTCAAATCACTTTAAACTTATCATAAATCTTTGTGCTCTTTCGATAGCTCCATTATTTATTAATTTGACTTTATTTTAACACCCTGGTTCATGCCAACTTCATTTCATTCTTTGTGGTTTTGTCTTATGGCATTATTGATGCGAATTTCAAAGCACAAATTTCCAATTATGCATTTTAGTTTTAACTTTTTAATGCATTTGTTTTCTGCTGATTGATTCCATCTGGTTTTTTTTTTTTTTTCTTTTTGGTAATATTTGCAGTTATAATCTTCTGTTAGGTTTAGGTCCCCATTGGATCAATGTAAATCTTTAAAAGTGAATTATATATGTAGTCAATATAGCATTTTTAGCAAACATTCAGTTTTTATACAGTTTTAATCATTATGATTTTATCAATTTTATATATATATAAATCAATGCAACTGCCTAATTCAAAATATGTATTTGTTTAACCTAATTCTATATATGTATTTCTTTTTTGAATTAGAATACACCTTACTTTCTTCTAAACAAACAATTTTCTTTGTTCCAAGAGTACTTCTTTAACATTTCACTGTACATAAAATGCATCAAAAGTTTCCTTAAAATAAATCCAATAGTTTGTTTTTACGACTTAAAAAAAAGAAGCTTGTGTTTAGTACCATTTTTTCCCTCTAATCCTATTTATCATTTTATTAAACAACACAAATTAAGCAATCTCTATATGCTGTTGGCTGGCGATGCTACTAGTATAAGTATAGTTTGATATATAAATAAAACATTGAAAAATCTCAGCAGGACAGATTTTAATTTTAGTTGGATTTTCAACACTGTTGTTTCTCGCTAAATAAATTTAATGATAATAAAGTTAAAGAAGTCCAGTAAATTTTAATTAAATGATAATTTACTGGAAGTCAAGATGCCACTTTATGAAACAATGATACTAGAATTTATATAACTGCTGGGGGCCTATTTTTATTTGAGCAATAAAATTCTATAATTAAAGAATATACATCTAGTAACCTTATGTAACAGGTTCCAATAAAGGCAATAATTTTGATGGAAAAAAATACTTGAACAAGACAATTAAACAAAACATAGTTAAACAAATAGCTATTAGTTTCAAATTTACTTATCACATATTTTATTACTTTATCTCATATCATTAATCTCATCAAATCTTAAACAAGACAAAAAATAATCATGGCAATTCATTTACTTACATACAGCTAAATGGATGCGAAAATAATAGTAAGAGTAATAATAAATCAAAGGATATTTTGCAAACGGTGAGTCAACTTTTTGTGATTTTAAATTTTCTCTTTTTTCTTTCATAAGTTTCCTCAAATCTTCTTGAGACAGTTTTTTTGCAGACATTTTTCTAATAAAGAATGACAAACAAAATTAAAAACACATGTATAAAACCTAATATCAAATTACTATCACTAAAAAATAAAACTACTTAACACAAGTCTTCAAGCATAACTACAAAGGAAATTCTTTGAGAAAATTTTAAATTTCATTCAAAATGAGGCGTAAAAATTCCTAATCCTAAAACTTTTATGAGAACTTAATTTTGATGTCATGAAGTTACACCTTCATCTAGAAGGGTTAATGAAGCCAATGATTTTATCTGATAGATGTTATCTCAGACTAAAGAAAGAGGTTATATCACATTAAACAAAGAACTTGACATTAAAAACAGTAAAATGTTAAATTAATAGTAAGTGTAGAAAATTAAAAAGATAAGAATTTTAAAGCATAAAAAAACATTTTTTAAGAGATAAGAAAATTAAAAGAACAACAGGATCATTAACAATATAGCTTTTGCTTTTGATGATGAGGAAATTAGCCCAAAAGTTTGGGTCAACACATTCATGGATAACATAAGCTGATGAAAAATTTAAACTATGGCCTTCTGTCCAGCAATGTGTTGTCATAGATGAGAAGAGGAGTTTGGGATTCCTGATATCCATTCTTTGAGATCATATTTGATTGCTCGTTTATTTTAGCCTATATACAAATATTTACATAAAATTTTGTAATATTCCGAGTTGATGAAACAATCAATAAGATGCTTGAGGTTTCAGAAAATAATTTTATTGATCGAAGAAAAGATAACTTAGATATTGTTGTGGAATAGAATTTTTAATATTTTGTACGGAATTTTCAGAAAAAAAAAGCAGACCCAAATTACTTGTTTCAGATTCAGTATTTCATTTTCACGATTATATGCATCTTTTTACATCTTATTAAGAATATTATCGATTATCTTTTACAAGTGTCAGACTATTTATAGAATCAAACAACATTTATATAAATTTCAAAGCACTGTCCCAAGAAATGATTGCCATGCAGGTAAAACATGACGATTGACCATCCATTCTTTTATGTTCAACACATACAAGCGTTCAGTTTTAGAACTGTTCATAGTTAAATCAAACAATTTAAAGAACAAACTTTACGATAAAACGTAATTAGAGAACACATAGTCTATTAATTAGAATATTCATATTAGATACAATGTGTTATATGCATACTATCAAATATTTATTACACGAAACACATTCTTAAAACATAAATAGATACGCTGAAATACGAACTAATAACAATAGGATTTCTCAATCAAAACTGTTATGAGAGATTTCATGAAAGAAAAGAAATTACATATAATTATGGAGAACATTTGAGCAATAGGATAAAATTAGAAATGAAATAATAAATTTATTGAAAAAGTGTACTATGACAGATTAAAGAACATGTTAAATTTAAAAATTCTTTAAACTCTTACTCAGTTAATGTTAAAGGGTAATTTCAACAGTTATAAAAACAAAGTAAACAACTTAAAGTAAAATTTGTAAATTTTGAATTATTCTTCCCTTCACTTCTAATTAACTCATATTGTGCTCGTGGCTGGTTTAGTTATCATTGCTTTGAAAATCCAAATGATAATTAAATTCATGGAATTATTTTCATTGTAAATGTATTAATCGCAGAGAATGTAATACACCAATAATGAGATTATTTTATTAGCAAGTTACTTTATTAGTCAAATTTAGCAAGTCTTATGGGTGATTCTCACTGCACAAAACTTTTTTGGAAGTAAATATTGATGAGTGACTGAGGGAGCATTTTCATCGAATTCGACTGGCGCACCTCCGATCACCTTTCTGAGTGGTTAAACTTCCGTGAGAAAATATATTTCACTAATCAAGTTCTTATATTTCTGTCCCACAGTGGACTGATCAGTAAGACACGGTTCCCAGCAGATCACCGAAGTCAAGCATCACTGGCTGCGGTCAGCGTGCGGATGGGTGACCACTTGGATCACAGTAAAGGGGACTGCGTAGGGACCGATGGTGTGCGGTATTGGTCCTCGTTAAACTGTTCTACCATAAAGTGCTCGATTTCGCGTGCAGGTCGTCGGGCTACCGAAGCGGGGGTGCCATCCCCTCTGCAGAGGATCAGAATTGTGATGGCATGTCTTCGGATCATCCTATGGGGTGTTTCCCAGACCGTCGCCAATAGTCCATTCATGCAACTCTAGTGCGACGTAAATTAACAACAACAAATCTTATATTTCCTTGACGGCTTTCGGAGAAAATTTACCTGTTCAGTGAAAATTCTTCAATGGTCAATCAGTAACAAATAGCAACTCATGGGAATACGTTTCATTTGTGAGAGAAATATAAATAATTGGCAATCGAAATGGGCCAAGTTAGGAAACTATATTGAACTGAAAACTACATTAAACTTAGTTTTTTCTCCCCAGATGGCGTATTCGAGCGTTGCGAACGTCTATAAATTGGTCAGTTGGAATTGTGTTATTCAAGACAAACCATTCACGATAAAATGGATGGTGTTTTCTACAATAGAGTGTACTAAGTAGTATTTCATGTATACCTGTATTCGTTACCTGGTTTATCATTTGTGTTAAAAATGGAATCGTTACACAAGTAGCACCTAATATTAGATAATGTCTGAAAACCGGTAAAATCTAACGTTATCTTACACAACTTCTAATATTAGAAAGACACAAGAGGTCGCTGTTTGTTCTGCATTATATAATACAAGATTATATGCAAAAAATATTATCTAGCGTTCGCCGTAATATTATTTTGCATTAGTTTTAACGCTATATAATATTAGATTTTGTATTTTCTGATATTATCTTGCGTTCCTTTTTATTTTTTGGAGTAAGCAAGAAGATTTGGATGGTAGTAGAATAATTCGGCGATATAATTTTGATTATTTTTCTGTATTGCTGTGAAACAGTAAAGCATAGAACAGAAGTTTTATAATGTCATTCCATACAGATACATTATTTACTTAGCAATACAGAAATGGTAAATAAAATTATATAAGCGAATTCTGTTACCCTCCATTTTCCTCCCTTTTACTCCGAAGTATATCTTAAATTCAGCTGATATTTTTTGATTATTTTAAATTTATTTTAGATGTAATACTATATTACTACTTTTATTGCTTTTTTCTTCTTCATACAATGAGTTTTCTGACGAATCATTAGTAATTTTCAAGTCTTTAATTTTAAAATGCATTCTTAATTTTTATTTTAGAAATGAGTCTATTTTATCAAAATCTGAATTGAGTTTGTTAGTTTTGTAAAACATGCTTTATAAAAGTTGTAATTACGACTTTTATAAGTGAACTTAAGCCATTAACTTAAGTCATTAACTTAAGCTTAAGTTAACTTAAGCCATTTGCAATTTCCCGATTATTATTCATTATTTATATTCTGAAATAATTTAATAAAAAATTTATTATTTGCCTTATTATTTGTGTTAATATATGACTTTCAGTTTTGTGCAGGATTTCGTAGTGTTGTTCAGTACTGATCCATGGTTGCTTACTTTTTCCCACCTCGAACGAAGAACTGGTATTCAGCTAGCCTATAATAATAAAATGAAGAGTTTGTCTGTGTATTTGTCTAGGGTGTCTCACTTATAACTCCAGAACCATGTATGTAAGCCCACTGAAATTTGCCAGACGGGATCAGTCACTCAATCTTAACTTAAATCGTCCGGGAGATAAGTTAAGAAAAAAAAATTTTTTCATTGGCTTAAAAACAATCATTAAAAAATAAACTGCATACTGTTTTTTTTTTTTTTTTTTTTTTTTCTAAATGTATTTTAACGATAACATCAGTGATATTTGAAACTTACAGCTTTCACTGAAAAAAGGAGATTTTGAATGTTCTTTAATATACAATTATTATTTTGTAATGTTATGTAAGATAAACTCAATAATCAGCATGAATATGATCGCATTGAAAATTACGTCACAAAATTAGTATTCTTTAAGTTATTTGAAATTTTGCATTTTTTCTCTAATTAATATGCCTTTAAAATACAAATATATCAAACTAAATAATTTAAAAATTTTAGTAAATAAAATAAAAAAATAAGTTAGATATTGAAAAGCAAAATTAATGATTCAATCGCACTAATTCGCATAAGAGGGGGAAAAAATACTTTACTATTCTTGACACCAATGATGCTAGGAAGAAAAATAAATGGCTAAAAAGTACTTAGTCTTTTGGAGGAACCATAAAAAATTGTCATACGATTATTGAAACCGATGATGCTTAAATTATTTTGGTAGTGAGTACTAATTGAAACAGAAAAATACAAGCTATGTTCTACAAAGCAGATTTAGAGTAGAAATGTGAAATAGCTATATCAGTTCCGACAGGAATGAAGCTTAATTAATTTTGATTACAGTTACTAACTGAAATAAAAATTAACTATGTACGTCGAAGCAAAATAAATGGAGAAATACTACATATATTTCTGGAGAAACAGTTGTCATGCTGTTTTTGATTTTAATGATGCTTAATTAATTTAAGTAACAGGCACTACTGGCACAAATGTTTAAGGGTTATGTAATGAATATTTAAATGCACTAATATAAGTTTAAATTATTATATTCATACAGTTGATAATTATTAAAACTGCACCAATAATGAGCAGTTTTAATACTGATACAGTGGAAATAGCTGTGTTACATCCCTCGAACTTGATATGTATCGGAGAAAATTACTTATAGTAGTAAATTAATGACTACCATGAATTTACCTCATGTAACAACTTCATGCCAAATAATACTGAACATTGCTAATCTTTATTTTGATGAGATATACTACTAAAAACGTGTTTTGCTTAATATAATTACTTAAAGCTCCCGGGAAGGACAAAATATGATAATAAATAACAAACAGTTAGAATTATTTAAGCTTTATTAATTATCTTGATACATACCTTCCAATTTTGCGCATGTTTTTGTATTGTTGTACCGTACGGATGTATTGATTATTTTCCTTTTTGGTTCACCTAGCACAAAGAACGGCCCTTCAGCTGGATCTAACTAAATACTGAAGTATAACTAACTATGCAACACTACTTTAATTACTACTTAAGACAATTTAACAAAATTAATTTAAATAAATCCTGGAAGCAAAATTAATTTTTTTAACTCCAATTAAATTACTGTTTAAGATAACCTAACACAATCGATAAAAACTATAGTATTGCTAATAGATAGAGAAATACTCGAGTTCATGGCACCACATAAGAGAAATATATACATAATTTATGAAAAAAAAATAGAATTTGATTTTTTTTTTTGAAAAATTGCCGACGCATCTTACTAAAACAATCGAATAGAACAGAAGATTATTTTTTAAAATATCAAAGGTTAAGCAAAAATGATAAAAAGTCAACAATCAATTTATTAATCGCTTCTTGAAAAAGCTTCCATTACTTCTGCTGAAAAATGGGAATGGATTGATTTAAATACCAATTTAAAATCCAGAGAATAAAAAACCAGCAATTTTCAAAATTTCCTACCTCAAAATCCCCGTTTATTCCTGAGAAATCAGTTTTTCTCTCCATCCAATGCTACTCCAGATTCAAGGCAGACAGACTTGTTTTCGATTTCAGAATTTGGAAATCGAGAATAAAACATTCAATTTTTTTTTTTTATAACAGAATGCATTTAAAAGTATTTTAATGCTCCAAGGTTAAATTTTGATCACTTTCTTACGATAGATTAAAGATGGATTATGCAAACTATGGTTTCGTGCATAGTATGGCATCTTTATATTAAAGATGTTATTATTATTAATAATAGTCGTTTACGCATAAAAAAATAGAATTAATCGGGATTATAACAAGATAGGAATGTGTGTGTCTTTGACCCGTTTAGACTTTCGAAGTGTTCTTAACACTGATGTTCTTAACGCAAGTTTCTGAGAAACAGAATTTTTAAGATGCGATTTCTTAGAACACTTGTGATACTTGGAAAAAAATGGATATTCCCAAGGATTTTGATAGAAATCTTCTCTTAATTATTAATTTTGTACGAACCTTAAAGTACATACTATTTTTGTCAATGATTCTAAATTATGTGTAAAGTCATTGTTTACGAAACACCACATGTATGTGTTAAATGTTTTAATTTCCTTACTAACCTCACATTCAGATTTGAAAAGTATAGAAAAAATTCATAACGTATTAATTTAATTTTTGCACTAATTTTTAAACTCCTCCCAACCTCTCTACATAAAATAAGGAATAATTTTTCAAACTCTCTTGGCGAATTGTTTGTCACGTATATTATCAAAATTCTGATAAGACAACAGTTTTAAACTCTTCTATGAAACTAATTAAACTTATTATAAAGTAGTTCTTGGGACTAAATGCTACACAAAAGACTTTTGTAGAAGGCTATAGGGAGTGAAAACTTTCATTGAATGAACACTTACAGTTCGATTAGAAGATAAAGAAAAATTCTACTGGCAACTTTCTTTTCAAAATACTTAAAAGAGGAACACCTTCTTTCTTTTTTGGGGTTACAGAGTGCAATTTATTGATGAAACTGAGCTACGAAAGAAATGATCTTTCTTTGAATGAATGAAAACTTCAGTTTGTGATTGTTTCATTCCTACA